TCGAATAGGCAAAGCTAAAAGTTATAGTAAACACGCATTTAGACCAGGAAAAAGAGCTGGGAAATGACCATTTCGCGACTTTTTGTTTCGGCAAGCTGAATTTATCACTGTAGATGCTAAATATTATGTACAATAACATATGTTCATAGACAGAGTCAAACCTGCGTATTGTCTAAATGACGCGACAGCTACAAGGGACGAGGACAATAGCCTTCCATCAACTTCTGCCCCATAATCCGTGCCAACCACACCCAAGGCAATTACCACTAGGTCCGGTAGATGGGTCCGTTTCCTTGGTCGGCTACAGGTTCCGTGATGGCATCCATACTGGCAGGGGGTGTGTCGGTACACATGTTCGCAAGTGACCCATTTTAAGCATTACGTCAAGAGCGCCAGCAGGACGCCGCCGGACGTACCAACGTTCCAGGAAGAGTCTACAGCGGGCTGGCGCCGGCGACCAGATGCGTACTCATATACCTACGACCGACTCCACACACGAGGACTCTCCAACGAACACTCACCCCGTCAACATGTCTTTTTCTATACAACTTAATTTTCAATAAAATACTTTATTGTTACCGTTGTGAGAGCGTTTTTTTTTGCTGTACAGCGAAAGCAACCCTCTACTCTTTTTTTCGTCTTCAAAAGACCTACAAAACTAGCATCGCATCTCATCCTCTCATTCCTTATCACTGTCTAATAACTCACATGAAATCTGGAATCGGTAAGTTGAAAAGTTTACAAGTTAAGGCCTTATAAACAAATTAACTAATTATTAGTCTGGACGATCCCGAGGATCTTCCACAAGTGCATTGATTTTTTTCATGGTAGGTTTCATAATAATACATTGAAATCTATAATTTTTTTTTAAATTTCAAATTTGCAACCTGGATTTTTTTTTATTTTCTAGCCTTAGTTGCAAAATGAAATATACGACGCACGCCCGTGATATAGTTATATATTATTACATATTCGGAAAGCTTATGAAAAGAGCTTTAAGTTAAAAAAAATCTCCAAGTTGAAAAACAACGGAGTTACAGACTGTCAAAGTTGACGGCCTATTGTTAAACAAATTAAGTTGGTAGCGGCAAAAAAAATACTGTCATAACCGGCAACCCGCGTACTTTCCCAGATAAAAATATTTTATTTGTGGAAGTATGTTAAGTGCATAAGAAATATTGTCAAAAGTCAGTGGGTCGCTTGATTTTCGGCGGGCCGTGGCACGGCGGAATGGTGGGAAGAGCGAACGACAGCGAGTCCGAAGAAAATGAAGATAATATTCATAGCCCTGCTGTTAAAAAAGCGAAATTCACTTGAAAATAATATATTTGACAGTCTGTAACTCAGTTGTTTTTCAACGAATCTTGACGATTTTTTTTTAACTTAAGCTCATTTCATAAGTTTTCCGAATACGTAATAATATATAACTATTACGCGCGTGCGTCGTATATTTCATTTCGCAGCTAAGGCTAAAAAATAAAAAAAATTCAGGTTGCCAATTTGAAATTAAAAAAAAATGATAGATTTCAATGTATTATTATGAAATCTACCATGAAAAAAATCAGTGCGATTGTGGAAGATACTGGGGATCGTCCAGACTAATAATTAGTTAATTTTTTTATAAGGCCATAACTTGTAAACTATTCAACTTACCGATTCCAGATTTTGTGTGAGTTATTAGACAGTGATAAGGAATGAGAGGTTGCGATGCCAAAACGTTCTGGTAATAATAACGCACTTTATAAATGTTTAATTCAAAAGTGATAAATAAACTTCTTCTGTTTATAACTTTTGATCTAATTAATATTTTTGACGCTAGTTTTGTAGGTCTTTTGAAGACGAAAAAAAGTACTTTATTGTTTTCTCGTAGAAATGAACGGAAAAAAGTTATAAGCGAAAAACGTAGATTTACGTAAAAATTATACAAGTAACCAGCCTGTAAACAATTTTCCCCCCATTTTTATGACTGTGGAAACTAATATATTATTGTACATAATATTTAGCATCTGTAGTGATAAATTCAGCTTGCCGAAACAAAAAGTCGCGTCCACCTCTATATTTCCTGGCCTACATTATTGGATTTAATAAGATTAACAAACACTTTTGGAATGGGAAATGTTGAATTTTTTGGTTGAAGTTGCTTCGCTGCTCAATTTCTTGAGAAGATATCCAAAGGCAGTTATGAGAGTTCAGCTCTTTGGATTTCTTCTGAAAAAACTGACAGCTTATTGAATTTGAAGTAACGCTTTATTTACTGGCTACATAATTCTGAAATAATGATACCTGTCATAGCGGGATTGTTGACATCAAAAAGCCTACAATTTTGCCAGCAAGATGCTTTTAGTATCATGCACTGAAACTTGATTTTATTACAGTTTTATTACAAACTTTGAGTGTGGAATATTAGCCTACTTTATTTGTATTAAATGTATTTTGTACCATTTCAAATAAAAAAAGCGTTGGAGAAATTACCATCTGTTTATATTTTATGTTAGTATATTTAGACTTGATACCAAAATACGTTGGAGGCATCTGATCTTTAGAGCTGCAATAAGTAAAGAAAAAATGGTGTTCGCTACAAAAATGTATTTCCAAACTGTATTTTCCCGTATTTCATTTAAAAGAAGCATTTTAATAACAAAAGATCCAGACAATAACTAAACTAACTTCTTGTTTAAAACATAGTAAATTATTTACTTTATTAATGTCCTACTATTGTGTTATTTTGCAAAAATCACCCTTTTGAGATATATTAAATGAAACACAACGCCCTAGGCCACTTTAATAATCCATTATCACGGAAATAAATAAATTAAATTATAGCAATTACAAATAATACTTATTAGCATCAATGCAGACTAAATTCAAACAAATGTTATAAGAGTTATGAACAACGTTTTTTAAACTCATATTTTTTTTGTTGATTTCAATCAGTTAACAGGACAAAATAATAGCTGCTTCCTAAATAAAAAAATTGGATTTTTTCCAATACGTTTATATTACTCATAACTAAACAGGAAAAACCAGGCCTCCTACAACATCCAACGCCATTTAAGAAAACAGTTCACATAAAAAATTTCTTACATAAATATTTTTATTAAATGTAGGAAAATATTAGTTCTGATCTAAGTAAAAGTGTTTTCAAAACAAAATCAAAGGATTAGCTTCAAAGAATTAAACATCAATCCTGAATTTTATCAGACGTAAGTCCTTTAAAAGTAAATTTCTATTTCTAATTTGTTTGACTTAATTTAATATGAGAAAATATTAATGCTATATTATTTAATAATAAATATCTTACGATGTTGTTATTCTAGCAGACGAAACAAACCCGATAAATCAAACAAATATTACGGAAAATTCCATTCAAAATATTTATAAGATCGCATGCCAACCTCTATGTCAACATTAGAATAGAAAAAACAAGAGTACCTGTCTATTCGATGATTAATTAACTATTTCATTTTACACAAAATATGAAATTTTTCATGAGTAATAACTTTTGGCAAGGAAAACCTGCAAAGTAAAGTGATGGAAGGTAAACATTAAATATGTATTACTTTTTAATGCATGTTTTTCTTCCTATATTTTTAAAAATCTTGTACTTATATGGATTTGTAAAGAAATTCTCATAGGTGCCTATAAGTCCCTTTTCTACAAGACCTGATTAAAATGCTTGCTCAAACTTTCTTGGTGGTTTTTTATACCTTTTTTGTAATGACTTTTTGTAGGGTGTTGAATTACTTGTTAAATAGTATTTTATTGTGATTATTATTTCAAACTTATTTTGATGTCGTGATATACGACTATTAGCAGCTAATACCTATACACAGTAAGAGAAATTAATTGCAAATTATTTTAGAAATAAACATAAAACGAATAAATTTTTGTAAATCCTTTAGTACTCTACTTTAAGAGATATATTTACTACAGAAACTAGGTCTTTACATCTAAAAACAATGTTTCTTAAACATTGTTTGTGGGCCATCAAAAACTAAAGCCATATATCAAGTTTGAATATATTTGCTGCAGCTATTTTCTTGTAAATTTACTATATTTGCTTTAAACGTGTTCACTATTTTTTTGATAAATTCAAACATAAAATTTGACATAAAGTTTCGTGAAGCAAGCATTTTATTGACACCATGTATAACCCTTTTGCCAATCTCAACATCAACTTTGATGTATGTTTTTAAGCTGGTGTTTTTTTTGAACATAAAAAACATGTACATTCCACTCTTTTTTTAATATCAAATTTTGTACTTTTATTTTACTTTAAAATCTATCACGCTACACAAAACTTTAAACAGAAGTCACATTAATTAAAAACTAATTATATTGTGGGAAACAATAATGCTGCAGATTAAAGCACCGTTGAGCAGAATACTACTCTCTCAATATCTAGCAAAACATTTTATCTCACCCATATTAATGAACGATTATCTAAAAAAATAATAAAAATAATCTACGAAAAACATAATATTTGTATAGTTTATTTTTATTATTCCTTTAGATAATCATTACCTAATATGGGCGAGATAACATGATTTGCCGGATATTGTGGGTGTAATTCAAAACTGGACGGAAATTTAGTCTGCAGGGTAATTATTTCTAACAATACATATTATTAATTATTACCGATAGCTTATCGGTTGATTTTTAATATACCTAGATATCGGTGTCAAAGATGCTGACACGTCAAATGAGAATTTTTGCAAATTTTTTTGATTTGAATTGACTTTTAAATTAAATACAACTGACTTTTGTATATATTTTTTGTATATTGTGTATACTTAAATGAAATGTTCATTTAATATTGATGGTGATTTACCAACGCTTCTCTCAATCAACGATTAATTACGTGAACTATATACTTTAGTGAAATGTCTTAACTGCTAAAAATGAGTTTATGTTATTAAAGACTTTCTTCAATTCAACTTCTATTCCTTGTTTTTATTTTTATTCAGCATGCAACACACGTGAAAGATTCTGGTACTCACCTCATCTCGAAGTCATGGATCTCCTCCAGCGTAAGGTTGTTAGCCACGTCCAGTAGCTGCTTCATGTTCTCCTCCTTCTGTTTCTTCAGCGACAACTTGTTGACACTCTCCACGTTAGACACGAACTCACTGCCGTTCTTAAGCAATATCGTCGATATGTTAGCGTGGTCAAGACTCACAGACGGTTGTTGCACGACGATTGTGGCTTGCGGTGCTTTCCTACCGCCAAAATGTACTGAGTTCTCCAAAGGATTAGTCGTAACATTTATAGGAGACGTTGCTGATGCTTCCAAGTGGGCCCCCACCTCCCGCAGGCATTTGTTTAGACACACGCTGCCTCGCTTCTCGGTAGAGACGCTAACCGTCAGGGAGTGTGCCGTATCCATTTGGGTTGGCAGCTGGCCATTGTCAACCTGGTGCAGTACGGGGAACGTCAGGAATAAACTATCTTTGGTAATTATTCTACTTTACTTCTAGTCTTCGTCAAACATTCGCGCGGATATAAGATACTAAGGTATTGCAACATGTTTGCATATAGGAAGGTAACAAATACACTTTTTTTTTAATTTGTTGCAGGTCAAAGTTTTGGTATTTTCATATATGCAGACATGTTGGAAATAATTCTTCAAAGATAATTCAGTTAAAACATATTTAAGTTCAAAAACTCATAGTTAGAAATTTAAGATTTTATTAAGGGTAGTACAGCAGCTACAGTACACTTACTGCTATAGTAGCTATATATGACGTATCAACAAAAAAAAACACCAGTAGCTTTGAATTTGGAAAGTTTGTCAAAAGAGCTATTTGGTGTTATTTCCGATTAAATCTGTTGCTCCGTCTAAGATTTTGTGCAAAACTCACAAGCAAAATTTAAAAAATCATGGCTTTGTAGATAGTACAGTAGATAGGTACAGTCAGTTGGCGATAAAACGAAAATAATACAATCAAAACCACAAATGTTATATTCCTTCTATAAGTGGAGAATAGTGGTTTTAAGGTTTTCACACCTAACGCTGTTATTTAAAGAAAGATGGTTTTTCAGGTTGTGCCGTGGCCTATGTTGCAGGAACTTTTAACCTGCCCTTGTTGTTCTCGGGCTAGCCTCTGTGGGGGCAGATCTGCTATCACAACCCATAGGCTCGTCCTCATATTGATTTCAGTTCTTGTTGGTGGCTCTATGACGAAAATGCTCCTCGGACAATGATGGTGCTCTGATGTGTTCCAGAGTGGCCTCTGTAACTAGTCGCATCCAATGCTTCCAAACGTGAAAAACGGGGAAACGATTGAGAGCATTGAATACGACTAGTTTTAGAGGACAACCATTAGGAGAAGTCTCATCTGTAGTGGTCTTAGAACCAACACCATGAATCGAAATCAACATCTGGGCGGACCTAGATACGTTAATAGTGGGTTCGCCCTCACAGAGCCTAGCTCGAGAACAACAAGGCTAAGGAAGTGCACTGTAAGTATATAATTGCGGCGACCAGGAACATATGTCATGGCATAACAACTCGGGATACCATGGTACTTAGTATCTGTGAAAAATATTCTAATTAACCTTCAAAGTATTCTTTTGCTGTTCAAATGCCCCATACCCATCCTACTTCCACAGCCACTGGTTAGTTTTTTAAATTTTTTTTATGAAGGTAGCTACTATGAAGTAGGTACTGTAACATAAGTTGAAGTTTATATCTTCAATAGTCCTCTTGTATCGATCAAAAACGATTTTTTACTTCCTTGAAGAATTATAGATGCCTTAGAAATCACTTCAGGAAAAAAACGTTGCTCTTGGTTTGTTTTGACGAAAAATATTGTTACATCCTGTAGATGTAATTATTTACAGATAATGATGAATTGGTTAGGCAAAGATGCATGCAGAATTAAAACTAAATCAACTGATGAGATTTCTAGGTAACGGTCAGAAAATTATTTTAATTCAGATTAAAATATGGTTTCAATTGAGATTCAAAGATCACACGGCCTACGTATTTTCTTATAAAAAATATATGAGCTTTAACAATTTTTGAGGAATTCATTCTCTGAACTACAATCATGCAATACATAACTTTTTAAATAAAATATTGAATGGAATGATGTGGCTTGAATTTTTTGAAACAGAATTTCCGTGAATTTTAACATATTCATCGGATTTACGAAAATGAGTAAAAATATTGCGAATTCCCAACAAAATTTACTAAATTAGAATTCCATTTGTACTTATATACTAAGTAATTTTTATCAAATACACATTGAAAGAGAAAATAGTATACCTATTATAAATTTTCCAAGATATTATTAGTTTTTAAGGAAAATCCTAAAATAATTTTTGTTTTCTATAAATTATCTTACAATCTTTCTTTCCACTTCACACCTCTAATAATAGTGGCTATCCCCTTTACTGGAAAAGTAGATCTTTCCTTTGGGACATTAGTATAAAAAGTTTTGAAACATATTGTATATTTAGTTAAAAATAGAAAAGCATATTTTAAAAAGAGAAATACTACAATAAATAAAGTAAAAAATCTTCTGCATTTCGATATTAACCTTCTGTTTTTAAAGAAATGTTTAAAGTTTCGATTTTTTTTTCGATAATACCCACTCCTTTTTAAAAGCATATGTCATATGGCCACTAATTTAAAAAATTTGTAGGGATGGGCGCTATTGCTAGGGAGGGAGGTATGAAGTCAGTAAATATTGTTTTACAAATGTGAAATGGTTTTCAAAAACCAAAAACAAACTTGTTCCAGTTCCATTTTTGGTTTATTTTACTAATAATTATTTTAATGTTTATGAATAAATGTATCTCACGTTTCAACTTTTAGATATTGAAGACGTAAAATTCATTATCTGGAAGATATATTTCTACAAACGTTTATATAAAAATAATCGAATGGAGCTAAATTTGGAGTGCTGTAGGTGGATGTTGCAACATAATTAGTCCATGTTCTTGAAAAATGATTTATTTACTCCGCATTTGTTTTGCAAAAGAATACTTTTTGCGTAAGAAAATAGCCGTTATCCACTTTTCTGTTTTCTTGATAATAATTGAGCCATTTTTTTGTACGTGCTCAATCAAACTCCTTCCAATCTTAAACAATGTTTGTTTTCAATTCCCCAATTGATTTTTTAACGATATTTACCCTAAAGCTTCGTCTCCTTTCAAATTCAAACATAACATTTTTTTGGGAGGGTTTACACATTAAGCAAGAAATGTATCAGAACGTGATTTTTTTGCTCTATTTTTTTATACATTTCTTTCGCTAGGAATAAGGACGTTTTTATTCAGTGTGACTAAATTTTTCTTGTTATTTTATGATAATAAGTTAAATCTCGGTCACATGGAAGTTATTAAGGTGATTTATTCGAACTCGGCAATATTTTAAAGGTAGGCTAGTCATATAAAAGACTACTTGTAAAACTTCCAGTGTTACGCCTGTGACATACTATTTTGTAGTCAACTGACAAAGATAATTGAGCCACTTATCAGGTTTCGTAGATAACTGAGTTCGACGGATCAGCTAGAGGAAGTAGAAATGTGTTAAATAAGATTTTGAGGGAAAATTGTAACAATGGAAACTTTCATTTCTTAAGAATATTTTGACAGGAAAATGTAAATCCATGTGTATGGAAAATTGTGCATAAATTTCTCGGTAGATATGTACTGAGAGGTTTTTACATTCTATCAATCACTTCTTGATATAGTAATTCATATTGCAATTGGCGAAGAAACGCTACAATGGTAGAAAAAATTCCTCGCGCAGTAACCAAGAAATTATATGCCAGTTAGCGTTTTGTTATAAAGCATTATGTGGAAAATTTTACGCGAAACTCCCTTTTATACCAAAGAACTTCTGCACGTCGTCGATGGGAATGTTGCGATGTTGCGAGTATATGTAATGTACTTTTTAATTGCAAATTGCTCTAAACATCCCAAGATGACATGACGTCTGCAAAGCAAGATGCTGCTGGCAAAGCAACCTCAGACAACACTTGGAGGATGCCAAAATTTCCTAGTTCAGAATTTTGAATGCCCAAAAATTAGAGCTATGATATGAGACTGAATTGCCTTACATAAATCTAAAATAACAGCCACATTCCACAACAAACAAATCAACAGCCATGAGTCACCTGAATCCGGAGAAGCCAAATCTTAAGATGCATACCAAAGGCAAGTACCCGAAAATTGGCAGAGCTTCCATGGACCGAGATCGAACGTTGACTCTGGGGTCTTGCAATTGTATAAACTCAGTAGAAGTCTTTGGTCAGTACATTGAAGCTGTCCTTACTTATTCAGAATAAAGTCCCAAAACTATACTGACGGTTTCAAACGACAGGTCCAAAAAACATGGAAGTTAAATACAATTTTTTTCCAGATTCGGCGAATTTCTACTTTAACCATATTACATTGCATACCCTTTGTGATATTGTAAAACTAACTTTTGATTTCAATTCAAAACATTGTTAAAAATTTGTGGCGAGCACAACGTTCTACACCTAGACCAGCAATCAGGGCTTTCTGCGCCTGCAGCAAAGATTCTAAAAGATAAAGCCAAGCTTAAAAACAGTGCCAAAAGGACTTAAATATAGTGATATAGATTCAGCAACAGTTACTAGACCAACCAAGGTGCAAAAAGTCAGAGTGTGGATCAGACCACTAAGCAGAGCAGTCAGTTGAAATGGAGAAAGGGCGACTAGCGCGAAGCATCCTCTCCAATCTATCCGTAGTACAAGCTTGGCCAAACTCAGTCGAGATCATCAAGAAGAGAGTCCGCATTAGGAGTTACAAGGACAGGAGGCCTTAATAGTAGGGTAGGTAACTTCAGTGCAAAAATTTTACTTAGGTCTAGTTTAATGAAGGTGTATTATATATTTAACTATAAGAGAAAAGTAATTCTCATTCAAATTTGAGGGACAAGATGAATATGGTCAAGTTGTAAATGGTGCTATAAGAGAGGAGCCTCGAACAACCTCGACCACCGAAGGCGAGAATCCTGGTAATGATGCCTCCGGGAATGAGGATTTCGGGGTAAATGGTGGTCTTCAACACCCATTTATTTTATTTTTGCCATTTTCCAATAAACCACCCTCGAAACCACCCTTTTATATTTACTTATTCTTGATTCATGTATAAATAATAACTCTTTTCTGATATTTTCATAGCTAGGCAGACTTAATAATAATTTACTACCGCATTCTTTTGTCTGGCACATTCTGACAAATATTCCTTATACTCACCGTTTCGTTAAAGAAATCCACCCGCAAGTCTGGCAGAGGGGGAGTCATCCGTGCTGTAGACGAGACACCCCCGCTGCGGTATTTGGCTATGTGCCGCTCATCGTACGAGAACTTCTCCCTTTGTTTACTAGGCGAGCGGTGTCTCCTACTCGTCTTTTTGTGTCTGGGAACAAGAAAGAAATCAAAATTTATAGCTGTTTACCCGGCAGTTATGCATAATGCTCGTGTAATGGATGGATGATACCACCATTTTTTGAACAAAATTGGTTTGGCTTGTCTTTGAGGACTTGGGACTCAAAATGACATAAGTTATTTTGTATATAAATACAGGGTCATTAGAGTTTCTTCTTTCAAAATTTAGACGCAGGTAGTTTGTCAAAAACCAATGACAATTTGTTATACAGAGTGTCCCGCGACGATATGCAGAACATTATTCAGATAAAAATAATATTCAGAAACACGATTTTGAGAAATGGTCCCACAAATTAAAAAGGACCTGTAGGACTATTATAACACTGTTTGTAAAACTAATGATAAATCTATAATTTGGTGCCAATACATCATTTGAGATAAATAAAACCAAAATGCTCCCAAAGGATAACGGCCTGCAGAAGTCTGTCAAAGGTAAATGTTTCAAGTTATTATAACACTTATTCTTCTTATAAAGAGCTTATACAGTTATCTCTGTGCAAGCCTAGATATTTTGCTAATACTTATAATAAAAGCATTTGGTCTTGGACGAAAGGTGTTATTGACACTTCATAGTATCATAAAAAGTTAAATTTGGCTTAAATCGTGATCATTGCAACTGTTTTATTTTAAATATTAGCAGTATAAATACCTGCATAGACATAGGAAACAGCATGAACTCTGTAACATAATGTCAGGTCAATGAAATTATTTTGTGTGTTCACTGAAGTTTCAAACGACAAATTTTATCATATTTTAAATGTTCTAAAATTTTTAAATATTATAAACTATTGTTTTATAAAAGAAATAATATTTTTATTATTAACATTACAAAAGCTCGTTAATATTATTTGAATGTATTAAATATGTATGTTTTTTTATACAAAAAGTGAATCATTGTGTTTAATTATCAAGATTTTTTAAAAATTCTTTAAAATGGACATGTAGACAATGATCAGCTCATAAAGGTAAAAGCTGTTTATAGGATAAAATCTTCGTTTAAGAATTACTCAGATACTCATAAGGTATTCAGCTCTTATACAAGGTGTTTCAGAAAGACCTCCCGTAAATTCAGGGGGTGATAGTACGACAAAAAATGAGAATTTTTTGTCATATGAACTATGAGCGACAAAATAAAATTTTTTAAATCGAATTTTTACGAAAATTTCCAAACGGTGCGAAATATTTTTATGAAATTTGGTATTTAAGGACGCCAAATACGCTGGTCTAATTATTTTTTGTATATTTTATAGATGGCGCTAGTTATGCTACATTCGTATTACATTGTAAGTTCTAATTTTTTTGAGGTTAGATTTTTCGGGCTCCAATTTCTAATGTACAATTTTATTTTCTAAAAATAATGTACTCTTGTTAGAACTTCCTAATGTGGACGGTTTTCTAGAAACAAAGCTTTTAATTGAACTCTTACAATATTACGGTGTAGAAAATAAGTGACTTTTCTCGAAGTAGGCTTATATCAAAACTTATTGATGGATGTCTCATAAACAACGCATACATTCTCAGTAATATTTTAAACTCTAGTTAACTTTATATCAAAATTTTAGTGATTGTTGTTAGCGACTAGTTAGTAATGACTACATTAGAAATTGGAGCCAGAATGGTAAAAAACCTAACCTAAAAAATATTAGACCCTAAAATGTAATAGGAATGTAGCGTAACTAGCGCCCTCTATGAAATATCCATAAAATAATTAGACCAGCGTATTTGGCGTCCTTAAATACCAAATTTCATAAAAATATTTCGCACCGTTTGGAAATTTTAGTAAAAATTCTATTTCAAAAAATTTATTTTGTCGCTCTGTATCTCGAAAACAAGAGGAGAAAGACATATAGTTCATAAGACAAAAAATTCTTATTTTTTGTCGTACTATAACCCCTGAATTTACGGGAGGTCTTTCTGAAACACCCTGTATATAAACGCAACAAGTAAGTCATTAAGTACTTAAGTATAATTAGACGCAGCGATTCATATATTTTTCAAACCTATGTAAATTCATTTAAATTTAATAAATTCATTTAGTCCTAGATAAAAAGTTTAGTTTAGCATAGATAATTCAATTTAGACTTGAATAAAATCTCATAATCCCGATTAAAATTACACAGCTTTATGTCACCACGTTAGTAAGAGCATTTACTTTATTGTGGTTATATGAATGTTGTGGTGCTGCAATCGGTCGATTATGACACATTTTAAATAGCAGTTTAGATATTTTCAAAGATTTCCCATGCTACCTACGATCGATGTAAGTTGTTTTTGTGGAGTATCATTAATTAAAATAACTTGAATTTGAAAAAACTGGTTGTAGCAAAACAAGTTTCAGTCATTATTATACAATTGATTCCAAAATCTAAGAAAGTACGAATAGCTGTCAGAAGCTTTTTTTTTCATAAATGCGTGGCTTTAACCAAACATGCATAAATGTTTCAAGAAGAATGATAGCCGTAGAAGTTACATTTCACAAAAGGAGCTGACCTCCATATCTACAGCACTAGTAACTGAAATACAGAATTCGTAGTATGGATTTGTTAATACTAAATGTATTATTTTATAAAATTTTGAGAAGCTACAAATACTTTCTCTTTAGCTATATAAATCAGTTTTTTTCTTTAAAATCGTAACAATTTGTTTGATACAACTTTTAATTACAATGCTTTTCACATTATTATAATTATTATCATATTTACAGGAAGAAATTTGTAAGGAAATATTTTCTTCTAGATATACTTTTTGGAAATTGTTTGATTTCCAAAAAAAAAAAATAAATAAATAAAATTACTTAAGACACTGATAAAAGAAAAAAACATTTAAGAAATGTGGTCGTGTTGGCAGACATTCTGCAAACTTGCACAGATGGAATATTGTGTCATTTGGAAACTATTTGAGAAAAATACTTTTTTAAGTTAGTTTTAATACCCTGCATCAAAAAAATAAAACAAGTACTTTTTTATTCGAACCACCCTATATTGAAGTCAATAACGCTGGGATACCCGACTATTTGTATTTCAGTACATCCTGAAATTCAGAATTAATGACGAGACGAGAGCCAAACCATGTTTGAGAAGAAAGGGGACGAGCTAAACAATATTTGTGTCCATTATTTATTACGCACACTGTTGGTATAATCAAAGTTTTAGATGTTTTTTGACGTTGAGCATATTCGAATGTGTATTCCATTAGTTTTTCACGACAATAGAATATTTTATCAAGAAGATGGAAGACAATGTTCGGTAGGATTGGCGTAATACATTTTTAAATGTACAGGGCGATCGAAGTTTGTAAATGCGTTTTTCTTGAAAACGAGTGAAGATAAATGAATTTCGAACACGGTGTAATATTTTTAATTTTGTAGAACAAAAAAATAATAGTTATATTATTCGCTTCGTCCGGCGCCACTTCGTTATTTTTGATCTGTTCTTGTTTTGGTTTATACAATTATAAATAAATGCTGATTTGTACCTTTATTTAAATTGTTTTTATTTTGATTATACATTTTTAATATTAGCTTTTGTATTCCTACTTTATTTTAAAACGTATAAGCTAATTCTTTCCCTATTGTAAGAGTTTGTGGGTATTAAAATAAACTTTAAATAACTAACAAATAATGTAATACAATAGGAAATACAAGAAAGTACTGTAATATTATTCTCAACTCAATTAATCATCATTATAAATGTATGAATGCAACTGAGACGTATATAGAACTTTAGTTTCGCATTTCTGCATTTCAATTTATCATCTTTCCAAAAATAGTATTTTATTTATGCCCCATTGTTACACGAGACATTGCGTTCAGCGAGGGCTTTTGATGCATATTCACAGAACCATTTTAATAATAATTATCAGCCGCTTAATAAAAGAATTTTTTAACTTGGGCCTAAACGAGGCATGGCAAATTTTCCGATATTTAAAATTCCTGCAAAAGTGCCCCTCAGGGACGATGAAAGGGAAAACAAATTTAATAAAAAGTTTGACTTTCACACCTTCCTCGGGCCTCGAAAGTTCAAAGAGCGATAAAAGCGTGTTATTAAACAACGAACCTCTTTGCTATTGAAATTTAATCCTGTTTCTCGCCCCAAGATTAAATGTCAATGGACAATGTGGTAAGGAGCAAATAATACGCGTTTGAAGCTCCCAGGTGATACAAGGGATCGATTGCGACTATTGTAAAAGTTGTTTAACAAAGGACACGAGCGGAAATACCTGTTTGAATACACGGAGGCAGGAATTTGAATTGTATAACAATCAAATGTTTCTACGTACATAAAAAGAAGCGCCCAAATGTAAATTATGCTTTACGGAACTTGCGATCAACTGCTTACACTTCAAAAACATTTTAAGAGAAATCAAATTGATTAGAAAATTAGGTTGATTAATTTTAAGCCGAGTAATCGATTTTTTAAATAATTTCATATATTCGTAACCGACAGGCTGTCTAGAAATGTTTAATCAACTATTTAATGTGAGTGAGGAAGGATGTAGGACGTTCCTTTGTGGAATTTCATATTAATTTTTTTTTTAGAAGCAGTCGAATAATGATTTGAACACATTTTATAGTCCCTTAGTTAGTACTGCTTTTTTAATGCACTTTGATCATATGCATTAAAATCAGTACTTAAATTCTTGTCTATTATTTCGGTGACAAGTATTTGGTGTAAGATTTACTAGTTTCCATGTATTTGGATAATTCCTAAGAAAATTAAACTGTTACTAATAAATAATTTGAAATGTTTTCATTCCTTTAAATATACTTAAAAACTGTCAAAATCTCGTTGTCTCTATGCTGAATCATATCCTAATCGTCCAGTTTCTTCAGTTCGAGTATTCATCAGCAGTTCTAGGACAGTGAATAATTTGATAAAATCCCTGGACTTTGGAAGACCTTCACTTTCTTCTTCTTTTAATAGTGGTTGGTTCTGCGTCCCATTACCTTCCTTTTAACTAAGTCCAAAAGCTTCCTTGCTGACACTTCTCTCAGCTCCTTGGGTTCCAAATAGGGTCTTCGTAGGAACGTCATTCTACTACGTGCAAATGCAGATATGCAGAGAGGTTTCATCAGACGAATCACATCCTCGGCAGACCGGACTGTCTACAAACTTTTGCTTATGAAGTTGTTTTCTAAAGTGACAGTGTCCTGTTATAAGTCCCGTCACTTTTCTGAGCTCAGCAACTCATTTGCTCTTTCCTTCAAAGGATATTTTATGAGCCCCTTAGAATGGTTATGCCAGAAAGAAGTGGAAGAACATCTTCGAAGTAACTTTAGGCGGATTGCGCCTCATCTATTAGTCACTTTTTTGTTTGCAGAACTCTTAACGAACAGCTACTGCATCTCTACCACATCCAAACTGTACAAGCAATCCACTAGATGGTGATGCCAGATTAACATTTTATAGACGGGTCTTGACAGAAAACCCTAACAATTCTAATTAGGGCCGTATTCACTCCTTTCCAAGATGAGACAAAATTTATTAAGAATGGGATTTCCTAATTTCATAATAGGAACGTTTGTACTCCAGAATGTACATGATATTATTGAAGCCAGACAGCAACATAGTTTTAGTTTAAATGTCCAGTTGCTAATCAATTAAATGGTCCTGCATATTTGCACCTTTTAAGACTGTCATTACCTGAAGGCGTACCATTGATTGTTAGGCGTGCATTATGATAGCGCTTCCCCTAAATTTCTTATTACCGGTTTCAAAGTACTCGAACGAAACCTACGAACTAAGATGGATTGTTCAACCACCTTTGGTAGTGGAATCTACCAACGCAGTGGATTGGTTCAATGCCCACCTAGTTCACCAGATCTAGGTGTATTGGACTATCATGGTTAGATGGGTATATGGACAACTAGTAGACTTGCGATTTCGACAATAGTGAATGGTGCATGGTATTTCGAGCCCATGGGATATTTGATAGGGTTGATATCATTAATAGAAATGTGATACCGTCAAGGATTTAAATTTAAATCTGCGCCCTTAAATTATTGGGAAATATGCTTTACCAAATTTGAATTAATTGTTAATTCATTTGGACGATAGAAATAAAAAGGATTTATTCACAAAAACGGTAACACCGCCGAAACGCGAAAGGTTACTGAACATACATAATTCACCTTTTTCTTTTGTTATTTTTTCTTTGGAGTATTTTTTCTTTTTCAAACCTTTTTACCTTATTTTTAACAACCTGCTTGATCATAGTTTTTGAATATATATTATTTTTTCTAATTCTTTTAAAATATTCAAATTACGACAATGTACAGATTAAAGCGATATTAATAAAAGCGAAAGATTTCTTACTAAGCTCAGATAAACAAGAATATAACAATGCCATTTGCAAAAAAAAAACTAAAAGTAAAATCTGTTCATTAAGCACTTACCTATGTTTTGGTTTTGGCGAATCAGTTTCATTTTCAGGAGACGAATTAAGCACCCTTTCAGCCCTCCTCTTGGGCGACGTTCTCTCAACTTTCTCCTTCTCCACGTCCAACTGCTTCCTCCTAAAGCTCCTTCTGTGTTCTTTTGGACTGTGCACGTTCTGGTTACTATTATCATTCGCTACTTGGATTTCATCGAAAGTCTGCGCCGCTTGCTTGTAGCTATTTCGACGTCTAGCTTCCATCTTCAACGCTTCAATTTGCTCCTCCATTAACTTATCAACAGTCATTTCACTAGTCTTTTGAGAAGGCCTTTCCACGCCCCTGTCGTCGTGTGCGTTATTTGTGTATGTTACGGTTTGTTCGAATGAAAACTTGGTGTCTACCATCTTTGGCGTGTTCTCATCTTTGGTCCAAGTTTTTGACTCCACTTCAAACGTGAACTTTGTTTCGTTCTTAGCCGTCGGAGGAGTCTGCTGCCTCGCTGTTGCTGGTGTTTTGGGAGATAGCGGGACTGGCTGCAGAATAGGATTCGACATTTTCGAGTCCAAGATATTTTCCGATGAGAAGTAATCTATTGGTTCGGTGACATCCAAGCTGTCTTCTGTGATGTCCCCGTCGGTTGCTGTAACTGTGGTCACGATGGTGTTCGAGCTGTCAGTGCTTGTGTTGATGGTCGTTTCGGACGCAGTGCTGGAGCCCATAACTAGTACTTTCGGAACGGGTTGGTTCTGGAAAAAAGTAAAGGATTTAAGAAAGGACAAACATATATAAAGTTATTAATTTAAAAGTATTTTTTCTTTTAAGTTGTCAAAGTATTGGAGTATTCAAATAATTTGGATTCATGAAAAAATTTATACAAATTGGCCATGAATTTTGTATTGTGAGTAATCACAACCAGTGGCGGCGCAGATCCTTTTGAGGTGCGAAGTGGTCAACAGCTGTCTCGTAGATGTCGTTTACATATAAGTAATTTAGCAACAATTTTTGCATACTGAGCGTAGCTGAAGCATTTATCTTTTCTTATATCACTGTATTCCTTAGAAATCTACTTTGAGCTTCGATGACAGTTTAGAAGTTGTCCTACATGTCTACTATACAGGGTGTCCCGAAATTAGGGAGTTATATTACTAATATTTCTATGTCGAAAAAGATTACTTTTTCTTTATATAAACGTGGGTCCAAAAATTCTTTCTAAGGAAGTTATAGCCACTTAAAGGGGACTCTGATTATGGTTTTTTCTAAATAACTCCGAAACCCGTTGAGATAAAATTAGAAAATTTGGTAACTAGCTTAACTCTTACGTGCTCAGTCCGCTACTAAAACGAAATTTACAAATTACCATAACTTTTTTATGCGTTGATTTTTTTTTACTTTTGATTGAAAAGTATGAAATTTCAGAGTTGTTTAGTAAAAACGCATACTTGTTATTCAAAACTTACGACGATAAAAAATATTGACAGTTTCGATTCGCGGTGATTAACACAGACATGTAACATTATTTTTAAACGAATTTTATATGAAAATGGAACATTCTACCAATATAAACCGAGAATACCTTTTTTTACTAGAAAACTCTGAAATTTTATATTTTTCAGTCAAAAGTAAAAAAAGTCAACGCATAAAAAAGTTATGGTAATTTTTACCCCCTCCCCCCTACTCTTGGAATGTATGTGATGAAAATTGGTAAATTTTGTTTTAGTAGCGGACTTAGCACGTAAAAGTTAAGTTAGTTACCAAATTTTATAAATTTATCTCAACTGGTTTTGGAGTTATTTAGAAAAAACCATCAGCAGCTCTTTAAGCGGCAATAACTTCCTTAGGAAGAATTTTTGGACCCACGTTTATATAAAGAAAAAGTAATCTTTTTCGACATAGAACACCCTATGGAAATATTGCCCCCTAATTTCGAGACACCCTGTATAATAAATGTATACTTTTTACTGCAAAAATACAAGCATATTCTTAAGAATCTAAATCTAATCTTTTTTTAACCATTGTTAACATTCGTGAATTTTATGTTTATTTTGTGCTAATTTATGCTGCGCCTTAAAAATTTTTTGTTTTATCCTTTCTTTTTTAAGAAATTTGCTATGGTAAAATGACTCGTCAAATTGATGCTGCGATTTGTAATACGGTTTCATTAAGCTTACTTTATATCCGTATATTTGTTTTAAGTGTGATTTGTATGTAAACTGTTTGCTAATTTGCTCCCTAAGCATTTAATATATCTTATAATCGACCTCTGAGGGTCAATTGCAGGTCATCTAGAGGTCAAATCCTTCTTTTGATCTGATAGCTGAGAATGGGTCTCGAACCAGTTGACTTTTATGTTTTTGGGATCGCTGATCACGATCCCGGTGTCGCCCATATGACCCGTCTAGATTAAGGTCAAATGAAGGCTAAGCACATTATTAACTCGAATGACACCATTTTTTTGATCCCGGATTCGGTTCGACCAACAGGTCGAAGCATATTCGGAAGTAGAAGTTTTCGCTTTTTCAAAATCCGGGGTCAAAAAATTACATTATTCGAGTTAATGCGTTTGATCTTCATTTGACCTTGATCTAGACGTGATGAACATAAAGGTCACCTAGTTTGGGAAAAAGGGTTTTTCGATTTCTGTTTGTGGGCCTGTGTAATTAGATGGGTCTGTATCTCCACATAGTCGCTGTTTACATTTTACTACAATTAGTATTCCTAGGTAAAGATTATTCATTTAGGAATAACCATTTTCGAACAAATTACGAAAGAAATAAAGGCTACAAATATGTCTGAAACTTAAATCAATATTGACGTTTTCACTTTTTGCCTTTTAGTTAATCTTGTCACTATTTTCTATAAATTGATAATTTGTTTATAACGTCCCAGTTTACAAATTTAGATGTAGCAAGATATGTAAGTATGTCGAATTTATCAGCATAGATGTCAGTTTTCATGATATTGGAAAACCTAAACAATTCGATTGGATGATGCTATACTTTTACTTAACGTGGTATGCTTTGCTTAATGTTCACAAACATTTTTTAAGAATTTTAAATATACCTACATTTTCACCCATACCACATTCAAGCATTATTGCCACATGATTTTCCTCTACGGTTTTTCTGTCAATGAGTACTTCACAAACCAGCTGACGATTCTTTGTTTTTAAATCGCATTTCTATTGACTGTGATAATTTATCCCCTAACGTCACACAATATTTTTCCAACAACCATTAATGGACATATGAAAATTCTTACTCGTCAAGAGAATTTAATTATCAATTTAGCTTCACATTAACCAGATGGGTTATTGGAAATGACCTGTTTCGACCGTTCCTTCTTCCATTAAGATTAGTTGACGATACATACCGTGACTATATTGAAAATCAAATGCCGGTCCTTCTTGATGTTCTACCACTTAATCTGCGATACGTTTTATGATTTATGCATGAGGGAACAACACCTCATTCCATATTAGTAACTAGACGGATAGACTGGGGCGCAGTTCAACTCTACCCAATCGTGGTCCCCTAGATCGGCGGATTTAAATTTCCTAGGTTTGGAACGTCAATTTACACTTACATAAGATGATTATGGTAGTTCCTCTTATATTCATAGTTTCACAGAATAAAGATTGCGAATATACTGTATTCTGAATACGGGGTAATTTTTAATATTCGTATTTTGGCCAAATGAAAACAAAATAGAGCCATTTTCAGGAACTGCGTCAAGATTGTAGAAAAATGCTCAGACCCGTCGATTTTAGATTAAAGGGGGACATTCTTTGCTGGGGTAAGCACCACCCCAAAATATTTAAATGGGATTTAAATGAGTAATATTTCTTTTGAAAGCTCCTACAATTATCTTTACAACAGACTTTAAATTTTATAATTCCGCCCAATACTTATTAAGAATTTTGATTTTAAAGTTGAAACTTATGTACAAACAATTAGTAACGGTAAAAATGTCCGTCATTCGAGTTAAGTACGCCAATGGTATAAATTTAGTATTTCTTGCGTTACATTGGTTTTTGGCGATTTGTTATCACTTTCGTAAAAAAACACAATTGCAAAAAACAGAAATGAACAATTAACGTAAAATTAGTGGATTACATGATGAATATATGAATATTTCTGATGAATGCAGTTTTTTCTTGAACGGGGCCGTAAATCGCCACAATTGCCGCTATTGGTCCGGTTCAAACTCAAGAGTTTTTGACGAGGTGCATACACAGCAACCGGAAAAATTAAATGTATGGGCTGGAACTTTCGGTGACCGGCTGGTGGGTCCTTTTTTTCTACCTGGTAATTTGACTGGACAAATGTATTTGCAATTACTGGAAGACGCTATTGACTGATATTATTGAAAATGTTCCAGAGTATGATGAAGATCATTTGATTTTTCAACAGGACGGTGCTCCTCCGCATTATGCGTTAATTGTCCGTCAGTATTTGGACCAACGTTTTCTACGGAATTGGATTGGGAAAAGAGGCAGAATTGAGTGGCCTCCACGATCACTGGATTTATCACCTCTTGATTTCTTTTTGTGGGGATACCTAAAAAGTAAAATCTGTAAAACGGAGCCAGCGTCGCTGGAAGATTTGTGTCAAAGAATCGTCGACAAATGCCGTCGAATCATTCCGGAAATGCTTCGGAATGTGCGCGAACGTTTCGAACAAAATCTTTATTCTTGTATGGAAGCGGGCGGTCATCAGTCTGAACGTTTAAATCAACTAAGTAAGCTGCTAAACATAATTTAAATTTTAAAATGTAATTTTTTTTTTTTGTAAGTATTGGGAAGAATTATAAAATTTAAAGTCTGTTGTAAAGAGAACTGTAAGAGCTTTCAAAAGAAATATTACTCAACCCCCAATGTCATTTAAATATTTTGTGGTGATGCTTACCCTTGCTTGGGGGTGAAAGTGGCGGAGTCAAAAATACCAGCAAAGAATATCCCCCTTTAATCCACGGGTCTGAGCGTTTTTCTACAATCTTGACGCAGTTCCTGAAAATGGCCTTGTTTCGTTTTCATTTGGCCACCCTGTATATGCATAAACAGTGATTACTTAATGATGTATTCAGCAATCTTTATTTATTTACTTTTTACCCAATTCTGGTTTTAACTCGGACAAAACGTTATTTTTTATAAAAATATTCGTAAAAACACAATCTTCTATTGAGTAATATTTATATCTCTTTACTTTGGAATTTCATTGCGTGTTTGTACTGAAACCATACGATATTCAGTTATAAATACAAGATATATAGTTAATCGATATTGATGCTGTCATCGGTATGTATTTCTTTTAAGCCAGTAGCCATGGACATTCGCAATAAGCAGAGAATCGATATTTGCGGACAGTAATATTTTATACGTACAACTTCCTGTGACAGCTACCTTTCTAACTTTTTAAATGATTTAAGCCGAGCGATACCATCTATAAGGTTTTATAATATTTTTCAACGTATTTTTAAAATTATTTACGTTGAATAAACGAAATATTTAATTTATTAAATAAAAATAAAGACGTCAACAGGTTTCTTAGGGATTTTTATGAGGTTACATTAAATCAAAAATGGAATTCTAAATCTGTTCATAATTCGTTTTTTGATATGGTTCTCAGATTTACGGAAGACTTCCCCAACTCAGGTGCTCCATAGCCAGAAGGTAAACAACTCGAAATGTAGGACGTAATAAAGCAAACAAATTCACCGCCCTCTTCCTTGTAATTTATTTCAGGGATAC